CTCCTCTTCTTCCGGAAATGCGGATTTGCGGGGAGGAGACAGACACACACAGCTGACTTTCACGGGGCGCTCTCCTTATCGGGGCGCGAGGGATGAGCTCCGCCTTTGATACCGAATCAATGAAAAGTTTGAGGGGAAAATGCCGGGGCGGAACTGTCTATACCCGCGGACGATGATTGATACGAGTATTCCTCCGCACCGCGCGGAAACGCGCCACCCGCGCCGCGGCGCACTCTCTCGGTCAACGCCTCGTTACGCCGATCAAATCGCGTTCGATTGCGGGAATAAAATTTTTCTCGAACAAAACCCTCTCCCTCTTCCGGCCGATCGTTCTCTCCTCGTTTTCCTCCAACATTTCTGCGGCGTTACGGCGAGCGTCGTCGTTACCACATTTCTCCGCGGACGCTCGTCGTCGCGCACGTGCGTCGGCGATAAAACACGCCGACTTTGATGCTTCCCTCGCGGCTTCTCCATTCCGTGCGCCGTATATGCATCTAGTCGAACGTTTTTCCTCGCCGTTCTTTCTCTCTCCCTCTCTCTCTCTCTCTCTCTCTCTCTCTCTCTCTCTCTCATCGTCGTCTTCAGGAGAGATTTCCTGGTTATCGGCGAGCCGCGATTGGCACCGGTTGCCCGTCAGCGGGCAAGTCACTTTTCAAACATCTCTTCTCGGCTTTACTCCATCTCACGATATATATCTCGCTCGTCTTGTCTTCGCCGCGAAAGAACGGCGTTCCCGCTTTATCGCACCGTCCGATTCGCGCCTCTCCCATCTCCCAAGCCCGGTCGGATGCTTAATTTCTCATCCGCTCTCTGGATGAGGTTCTTCATCGCGCGACTAACGATTTCTGATAACGCCCGCGGGAGGGAGGGGGTCACGGGAGAAACGAAAGAAGGTGCCGACGACCGCCGCGCGCGGCCCGATAAGGGACCGCTTGACAAATGTTCGAAAACCGGCGCGCGCGCGCGAATCGATTATTGGCTCTCCGCGGTCGAGATATACGTCCGCGATAAATCATATATCACGTTAATATAATATTACCGTCGTAACTTCGTTGAATCACTTTCTGATCGCTCTCCCGTGCGCAAATTGTGCGATCAATTTGATAGCATAATGCGATCCGCACGTGGTTCGACGTGGCCGTCAAATCTCCCGCGGGAGTGTCACAATCCCGATCGGCCGAACGCGGACTAAGGGTAACTTTGATCGAAAGTTCAATTAAGTTAATCGATTAATTCAATCGGTAGAATTGCTTGAAGTAAAATTTTTGATTGTGTAACTTTGTCATACCCCTAATCTAATCGCTTTCCACGTGTTAAACAACAAATTAAACAAACAATAAGAAATTAATCATTTTTAATAATAAGTGGAAATGGACCAATGAGAGAGTAACACAAATAAGTTAAGAGCACCTTTATCGCCCTAAGATTCCGAGGAAAGTAACGGATAGCGGAGTAATGAGGAAGTTAGTCGTGTGTAGAAATAAGGCTAATAATGCGCGATTGAAATGAACGATTTATCCAAGTGTTTGAAGAACAAACATTGATCGGTTGATTCGTAACCACGCTCGAGAATGTTAATTTAAACGTTGGACGTATGTTGAGAGGCAAGTTTTAATTTGAATTAAAACGAACGGAATTCGTTCGTTAATTTGCAAATCTATGCAAATGACAAAATTGTAATGCGGACAAGAATATGAACCGCGTTTTTCGGTTCGCGTTATTACAATGCTCGGTGACTAATTGTAAATAAAAGTATTTTAACCCTTTGACTGCCGCACACGGATTTTTGTAATCGGTTGCCGCTACACTATTATTTTTTATATAATGCAATTTTAAAAGTATTTTTATGATAAAAAATATATTTTTTAATCAAAGTCTTCGGCGAAACTGGTAGATATTTCCAGAATTTACAATATATATATATATATAGTCTTGCCTATAAGTATAAAACATATTCAATTTACTGGAAAAGGCAATAATAAATGCCAAAGGACTAAAATATTAAAATATTATAAAAATGAAATATTAAAATTATTATAAAAATAAATGTCATTTTTATTTTTCAATAAAATTGTTCTTTAATTTATTTTGTGTTCGATATAAAATGCTTATATAAATTTGTGGGAGTGCTTTATATTTGTGATCAAGACTGTCATATGTAATATCAATGTAAAATATTTTCGGTTTATATTCAGATGGTAATAAGATGAAAATGCGTATTAAATTAACACTAAAATCGATTACGGCGGCACCTTGATATCTATATAGGTGTGTATTCAATCGGACACACACGCGGCAGTCAAAGCGTCAAACAGCCGGAACGTCATATACTCACGATAGAGCTTGATACTGCCGTCCGTTTCGCCGAGGGAGTTCTTAGATATGCATTTGTAACTGCCGTAGTCGGACATCGCGACCGAGCGTATCATGAGCTTCATGTGTACCTTGTACACATTGTCCGAGAAGGATGGCTCGTACTTCTCCCCTGCAATTTGACAAGCATCGTATCAGATATAAATACACATACGCTCCTCCCCAGCTTTTTAATTCGTAAAATTAATACGCGCGGATATATTTTTTTCCCTCGCCAGGAAGAAATGTTCAACGCGGGGGAAGGGGAGGGACAAAATGTGTTCTGCACGCGTGCGGAGTTTCAGATTGCAGACTCGACTGCGGAGGGGGCTTAATAAATATCAAGCGAGATAAAAGATGCTTCGCGCCTTCTTTGTTCGCGCCAGAATTATGGAATTAGTTTTAATCTACGGTGAAAGCTGCAGGTTCCGTTGAAACTGGAACGTTTTACACACCGCGGGTAACCTGGGGCTGATGCGACGGGGATATATCGCTCGTGCATACACACATAGATACGTTACGCGCGCACACACACACACACACACACACACACGCAACACGTACATTCGCGCGGCGGCGGCGGCGGCGGCGGCCGCAAGAGCCGGGGCCGTCAGTCCTCATCCACATCCAACACAGCGGCGGTATCTACATCGCCGCAAGACATTGCCCCATTAAAATATGACTCGTCATTTTAGGCAAGCTCATTTAAAGCTTAATTACGTTATCCGCGCTATCGCGGTACTACGTATTGCACGGCGTGCGCCGACGCGCGGATTAATTTTTGAAACGTGTCTGCAGAGACCGCGTTATAGAAGCGCGCGCGCGCACACACACACACACACACACACACATACGCGCGCGCGCGCGCGCGCGCGCGATTATATTACTCGATATATACACAGCCGGACAATACGTCACGCGCGCGCGCGCACGCTCGCATTATCATCGTTTTACATCGTTATTATATCGACGACGCGTATTATCGTAGAAAATTGAAAGTAGCGAACGCGCGCATGTTTTCGATCCGCCGACCGCTCAGCCGGACGGAATATAATATAACGATATTCCCAAAATGTATTTGCCAATATTCCCCGGCGCTTCCGGTATGCCTTCACGGTCCACCGTGCTTCGTGCTCTGTCAACCAGAAAAACTAGCATTAGGGTTTCTCGCCTGGGTGCGTGCTGCCCTCCGCACCATATTCGCGCGCCCGTCCGGCCCATACGTCGTGTCCATTTAAATTGTTCCGAGCACTTTGTTTTTCACCTTGTTATACTCGTCTCTCGCAAATCGACGCGGTTCGAAGATAAATACGTATTTCTTTTTTGAATTTCCCAAGGAACATTCGTAATACATATAAATACTGCTGCAGTGTATCTTACGTTAAAGTTCAAATGACACCTCATCTTGCAACATAATTTCTCGATAATTAATAACTAAATATATTTTTGTAATTTTGAAAACAGCTCATACATCAGTTTAAAAATGTGTCACACTCTTTTTTACAAATATTAATATATTTATATATACTTTAAATAATACATAGGTATGAAAGCTGTGTTTATAACGTTCTATTTATATTAAACCACACACTTTTATGTTTATTTGCTTTATTTGTTAATATTTATTCTTATAATGCTAAAGTTTAAAAAATAATGATAAAAATTCAGTTTTTTGTATAAGTATTTAAGATAATTTGTGCAAAGTTTTATTGCGATGTAGAGACCAGCTGTTCTATAAATAATTAAATAAATAAATTTTGTTTGGAAACAAACAAATAATCTGCATCGCAATGAAACTTTATATAATATATCCTTAAGTAATCATTTAATAATCTATTTATTAAATTTATGAAATATATATTTCTACACGAATTACACATTTTCCATTTGTAAAGATGGAATTGCATCTCCTTGAAAAGAGCACCGAGAAAGTTTGGGCCGACCGAAAATGAAATTGTGGCCAAGCACGCCAACCACTCGTTACTTATGGACGGCAGAGTGAAATGAAACCCGGAGAGAATTATGCGTGATCACGTGACTAATCTGGAGATACAATAGTTATAATTGTAAAGAAGCCCGCTACCGCGAAGGCGTGAAACTTTGCGCGTTCCTTTAATTATCTCTCGATTGTTCGCGCACTTCTGAGAGTGTATCGTCCATGTTAAATAAATTTTCCGGAACCACGAGAGCCATTGTAGCACACGTATAAGGGATGCAGATATCACAACCGAAATACCGTGAAATAATCGATCAATGGTATTTGGCAAGTCGGAGTACGGCATTAACGTTTCGATTCTTCTCGATAACGTCTCGGCGGGATGAAAAGTGGCATAAGAGCCGAGGCGGATCGTGGGAGGCGGGGCGCGCGGACGCGGAAAGAAGTTTTGATTAACAATTCGAGGTGGCGGCGCATTCGGAAGAGAGTGAAATCTATAGGTGTAATGACCCGCGGCAAGGCGGAGGCGAAGTATTTTCCCAGCCGGGAGGAAAACTTACGTCTCACCGAGATAGAGAAAGAGAAATGTGTGGGGAGAAAAGGGCGCGCGAGAGCGCGCTCGCGAGGAGATCGAGGTGCAGACGGAGAACCGGGGGCCGCGCGCCGGGCACACAGGCCAGCAGGTGGAATAAGGGCGGCGGAAGGGTAGAATGCATTTATGTAGTGGCACCATTCGAGCCCCACAAGCGGAAGAAAAACTTTCGGCCGGCTTTGAGTTTGAAAAGCAGATGAAAAAGTTTAACGACGTTGAACTACGGTGCCGAGCATTACCCACCACGGGGGTGGGCGGCGCGGCGGCGGAAAAGGGAGGGGGGAGTGGCGGAGGGGCCCCGCGAATGGATTTTACCGGGGATAAAACTGCTTTTAAACCCAAAAGTCGACGGTGGGACCGATATTTTGTGTTACTCGTATCTCCGCACGTCGTCGGGCGCGCGGCGGCGGGTCCGCGCCGCGCCGCCGACATATGTGGACATGAATCACGCCCGCCGACTTGGAAACTCAAACTGCCGACGTAATTTCCATCTGCGGCGATCGCTCACGCTTAATTTCGCCTAGCGAAATTCGTCGTTTCCGTGCGATCACGCGCCCGTGTCATCGATCACGCGGCACTTCGGATACTTTTACGAACGCAATTCCGCTTTTGCGTTTGATGCATATGAAAAAAAAATCGTAAAAAAAAAGTGAGACAATTCTGTCGTAATAAAATTAATTAAGTATCGAGCCGATAAAACGAACGATTTTGTAAAAAGATTTATTTGACGTAAACATAAGCGATTTTATGGGAAAGGGCAGGATTTATTATTGTTTCAGGCGCGAAACTGACGCGAGAATATATATATATGAAAATATGCGCGCTTAGTTGTGACAAAAGGTGAACTAATAGAGAAGATTCGTCAATCCGAAAATTCCTAAACGTGAATCTTCAAGTTGCTGAATCTTCTTTATTGTAAGATCAAAATCTGGTTGCAGCACAATTGGGTACACGTGTTTATGTTTACGACACACGTAAAAAGATTTGTTCACAAAAGCGCATAACAAATCTTGTGTTAAGAATTTCCTATTAAAATTCCACAGCGCGAAAAGGATATTCTTTTGTCAAGGTTTTTAATTTTAATTCATTAACTGTCCGAAATGTAATTAACGCTGAAAATGAAATCTCTCTCTCTCTCTTTCTCTCTCCGTAGAGAGAAATTATACCCAGAACTGTCGCGCGGCGAGTACAAGAGTCGCGGGAATGCGTTCCTTTAAAAGCACAGAAGTATACGGGCGCACACAGTTCGGCCGCGAACGTAATAAAAAAAAAATGTAAGCCCCTGTAATGAGTTTAACGCCGACGGCTCTAATTTGATGCACACAAACTCGCGCGTCGGGCGAGCGAGAAACGTTAAATATCGCGTAATTGCCAACCGTCGGGAACTCTATGCTGAAAATGAATCGGTGTGCCGGCGCGCGCGTAACGCGCGTGTTTGCTTACTAACAGATTATGTTTTCCAAAGGCACTGATTTACGGCGTAATCCTATTGTCAACGATACCGGGCGAAACCCCCGAATTCTCCATCACCCTCCAAACCTTCGAACGGCTCTAAATTTATAACAATATAATTTTGTAGCCTCATTCTTCATTAAAATATACCGAATCGACAGCCTTGTTAATTAGCTGCAGTATCTTCCTTTAATTATTGCGACATGTGTAAGCAACTTTCCAAAGCATTATTCCATAAATTTATTTGAAAAATATTTAATGTAACATAAAACATCAAAAAAATATAAGAAAGAGAAAGATTTCTTAACATATAAATATATATTATGCATATACTCTGCCGGCAAAAAGTTTGAGATTTCATATAAAATTTAAAACTACATAAAGTTCAATTTATACCTTAATTTATATTTCTTCTTAATTTGAAAAGATCTTAATTTTAAATAAAAATTATATTTTGTACGTAAAATAACCTAACATTTTGTTTAATTAAAAAAAACTATAGTCATAAAATTTTTTTTTTAAATTAAACTAAATGTGGATTATTTTGGAAAATAGGAGTAAGGAGCTCTTCTGTCAGAAAGAAAAAATAAATAAATTTGTAATTAGATTACCTAGGTTAAAAAATATAATTAAATGAACTACTTTAAAAAAAGTAACTAATAATTTTTAGTGAATTTTTGTAAAAAATATTCTAAACTTTGAAATATTTTATATTATTTTTATTTTATTATTATAAAAAATATTTTATTATTATGAAACAATAAGCAAAATAATAAAAATATATTAAATTATTCTCCTTAATTAGATTTTATTTCACATATAGTAGACATTTTTAATTAATGTTCACAAACTTTAATCCCGGCAGCATATGAATAATATATTAGAATAAATCTCTCTCTTCCCTTTTTACAATATATATTTATTCCATATAAATATATAAATACCTATATGTGAAAACTTCTCTGCCCTTTTATATATCTCCGCATTGCCATGCTGCGAACGATATTACGAGACGGCTATTTCCATCACGTGATTCCGTTCTTATATAGCGGCATAATAGAATTGTACTTTCCGCCGCTTTACGAGTTGCCTTCTCACGTGAACGGACCAGCGCGATATCTATACGTAAGCGTTTCTGTCGATTGAGCTGCGTGACTGGAAACGCTCGGCGAAACTTAGAATTTTGCGAAGTCCCGGCTAGAAAAATTCATGAATTTCCCGACGCCGGATATTCTCGCGGAGCTCTATAAGCGCGCGACATTTCTGCCACCCCCTCCCCCCCCTGGCGAGCGGGGGAGAGGCGAAGATATTTTTTCAACGACGACGTCAGTCGGTAAAACTTTTGCGCTTTGCCGGAAATTTGAATGCTCCGGTCGGATTCGCATGTGGCACGGGCGGCGCGGTGTAATCCCGAATCGCGATTTTCCCATAATCGCGGGGCACGTCCCCTCCCTCCGCCACCAAAACGAACGCGACTCTTCCGCGAATGAATCGCGTTTTACGGCCGAACACAAACTGGGGAGGTCAGTTTCGCGTTTTGAATTGTACAGTTCGTGCCATTAATGCCTGGAGTTCGATTTTAGGGTCCACGTTTCATTTCTTTCGCTTCCTTTAAATTAATTAAGCTTTGAAATATTTCAGAAATTTTACCGATCAAAACTGAGATTACATCGGCTGGTTGTCAAAACACAATTTACTGACGCAGCTTAGTCATGAACGTAAAAATAATTAAAAACGAAATGTGAACACTAAAATCAAACCCCAGGCACTAATGGCACGAACTGTACATTAAAACCCGTCCGCGCATATGTTTTTCACCCCGAAACAAGTACACGCGGATATACATGTATATCGTTATCACGTCGTTTAAAAAAGAGAATGCGCCTCCGGAACGCGTAACGGTCCTATCGTCAAATTTTTTTCGACAGAAAAAAAAATGGAAAATCGCGAGGCGAATAACAATCTCCGCCGTGCAAATATTCGAATCGATTTGGGGAGAATCGGGTCCCGGGTGTTTCGGCCGTGCGCGCGCTATTCACCACGTGTCGGCGTTACCGATGAATGGCCGATTCGATGCACGAAAATCGGTGCGCGCAGATGACGGCCGTGCCGAGTCGCGTCGCGTCGCGTCGTTGCGTCGTTGCGTCGTTCCGCGCGGCCCCGATATATATCTGATCGTGCGTGAGTCACGCGCGCTGAATTCGCATTAGCGGGCGGCGCGTATATCCGCGGAAACGTTAAATCGTAAAGCATGTCGTGGCTGTTACGGCGAAACACCGGGGGGCACTGTGCGGTTGACGCGGGGAATATAATGCGAGATAACTTGACAGTTGGCCCATTCGTAATTCGCGCTGCTTTCCATCCGGGGCTGCGGGCATGGAACCGGGCAGATAAGCCCCGAAACGATCGCCTTCGGTTTTTACGGGATTTTCATTTTGCTTCGATTTGAAAGTCGGTATCGGCGCTGAGCAGAAAATGCCGACTCGCTCTATTTTCCAGTGTCTTCTAAGATCGTATACACAGTTGGATAATTTGTTGTTAAATTTAACACATTTTACATGTTCCAAACAATCGACCCAAATTTTTATTAATTCAATAAAAAATAAATATGTTAGAAAGTAACAGTAAAGATTACACACAAAAATGTAACGCTTTGATCTAATTTAAAAAGGAAAGATGAAAACGTAATTCTTTAATAAAATTTGTAATATGTTAAATTGACACGTACATACTTTTATTCATTTATCTTGGAATATATGTTTGAAAACTACATTTATTGATTTATTCATAAATTGTGTTATTTTAATACCTATACTAAAAATATTAAACGTTAAATATCAATTTAACATAAAATATTTGAAAACAATATGATCACATTATATTAAATTAACACTCGGTTATGTTAAAAGTTCAACACAAAAATTTTAACAAAGACCATTTTTAACATAAATACATAACGTGTTAAAAAATGTTCTGCAGTTGTGAACGTTTTTTTGCGTCTCGCAATGTCTACAGAAATTTTCCCGCGATGTTGAATTGCAGCTAATTTTGACACAATAAATTATATAATCGAATAATTATACAATACGTGAATTGTATTGAATCGAATGTAATCGTTGAAGGTTAACGCGATTTCTCCCGAGGAAACGTGGTCAGCGAACCTTGCGCCCACGTATTTGCCACGCTCGGCGTTCAGTAGCGTTTATCGTGCATTGTCACTCCACGGTAAAAAGTGACATTCCCATAAGTCACCCGCGATCGTTGTTAACGTGGTTTATTCAGGGCCAGATTCCGTCGCAGATAAACGAAAACCATTCAGCCGCGACGGGGAGAGAGCAGCGCGGGCGCGCGCGGCCCGTGCCGTTTCACCCCGAAAAACCAGCCTGTGAAATAAAAATCTCGGGGAGACCGGGCAAACAAAGATTAATCTCCGCCGGCGTCGCGAATGGAAATCGTACCGGTTTCCGGGCCATCGATCACCGGGGTAGCAAAACGCCGTCGCTCGCTCGCTTCTCGCCCGCCGTCGCTCGTACGTTTCGCTGCGGTGTCGCGCCGCAGGTGCGCCGGCAGAAGCGATCCGAAATTAACCTAATTAGCTGCGCGATTAGCAGCTGCAGACACGGCGACGGCGACGGCGCGGACGCCGTCGACGTCGTCCCGTTCTTACCCGCGCCCGCACACATCCGCGCTGCGGAACCCCCGGCGGCGGCGGCAGCGGCGGCGAAGCCGTTCGGGGAGTCGCGCGCATTAATGGATCCGAAGGGGGTGCATTACTCCATATGCCTGCCTGCTACCCCCGGCGCGGCGCGGCGTCGTGTCTAATTATCCGAAATAATTATGCGCACATGTGTGGGCCGCGCCGCTTTTCGCTAACGCACCGCATCGCACCGACTCGACGAGACGCGACGCGACGCGATGCATCGCGTGTGCACCGTCAGGTACGATTTGCCACATCTCGCCTAGGTGGTTTGCGTATATTTGTGGCCGCCGCAAATATCGCGATCCTGCGTCAGACAAGATCGTTGATTGTAGCGCGTTGATACTCTCCGTACAAATTAATTGTCACGTTGAGAGGGGCGGAAGGGGAGGGGGAGGGGGGAGAAACGCGCGCGCGTATAATTGTTGTTGTCCCGCGAACTCTTCCGAATAATATGTCCAGAAGCGGGCGCGTATTGTTTGCCACGAGATTGATTACACGGCGCAATAGTGACGCACATTTTTTTTATTTTCTAAAACATTTCGGGCCGCGGATATACGTGCTTTGGGAAACGAAATCCAGTTTGCCGCTGGCAAATAGGTTTGCCGGAAACGCGATACGTTCGGTAGCGGCCTTTAATTTCTGGCGTACCGACATAAATGGATTTGATGAGCAAACCCCGCACCGTGACCATGCGTTGTCGGCTAGTAAAGCATGGTTAAGTATGTCGGCGGGAGCAGGAGTTCGATTACCATTCATTAAATTATGGCGGGGACGCGCGTATATGCGGCGCGCGCGGAAGTGCCGATCTATAGTCCCGTTGCTATTGTTGCTGCCGTTGCAATTATTGCTGATGTTGGAAGAATTAGCGCTGTCATTGAAGGAATTAATGTCGTCATTGCTGGCGCGCGCTCTCTAATTATTGCTATATCGTTGCGATGATTTCGCGATCGATTGATTCCACGCGCGCGGTCTCCTTTCCATTTCGAGCAGTGCTGGGGAATTTTTCCAGGTTTTTATAATGCATTCCGCTCGCTCGCGCTTTTTATTCGCAACATCGCGAAATTTCTTTAGCAAAGCGACACAAAAATTTCAGTTATTTATACAAATAATATAATTTCATTCGCGCAAATTTCACGCAAATATTACATGTCGGTGTAAATTTGCTTGAACTAGAGAAGATATATTGACTTTTATTTAACTAAGTCTGATATTTATGGTAAACATACCGTTTGTTATAATGACGTTGTTCTCTCGCGTCCAATAATTGATGGACTTGGGAAACGCCTCGGAATGGCACTCCAACGTTATTTGGTGGCCTTCTTGCGCCCCCACCAATTGATTCTGGATCCAAATCATTGGAGTAACTATTGACAAACAAAATAAACGTGAAAGAGTATACAATAATCTATATATATGATCATTCGAATAAATTAGATAATACATTTTCGAGCTAATTTTCATTCATTTCTTATGCTACTTACAATGTACAACGAGCATAATTCTCTTGCTGACCGTTGGCGGCACGCCGTTGGACGCGATGCAAAGATACGCTCCCATCTGCAACCTGTTCACTTTCGTAATATTGAAGACCGGTCCATCAATGCTGGCCACTACAACAGATGGTTTGCCATTCAAATCGCGAAATGGACGCAGCCGTTATTAACTAATTACTATACTAGAGTGAGAGATATCACACCGTATTGAGAATTATTGTGCAAAATGTCAAGGATAATAGATTACAGTTACAAAATCGTTAAATCCAGCTCTCTTTTAAATCTCTTTCGCATCCCTTATATTTGAATGTGTTCTGCTCACGTAAATAATATTAAGAAGCTGTGTAAAGTTGAACTCCCTCCACTATTGAAAATTCAAAAACGACCATTACGATTCGATTGGTGATTGTTTGGTAGTATTTGGTAGTCCACTCTCGATGATTGGTAGTCAAAATTGTAAATAATAAAAGGAAAAAGACATACACGTGTGAAATTAGTCCCTCCTTTCGTAAAATGACTTCCCAGATTGTGTAAGTAATCGTAACTGTAAGTATTTGTTTGGTGGTTGTTTACTAACGTTTGGTAGTCTATTTTCGATGATTGGTAGTCAAAATTATAAATAATAATACGAAAAAAAACATATAGGTATGTCATATTTAACGAAAGGGCTAACTTTACGCGCATATCTCTTTCTGTCTTTTTTTCATATTATTATTTAAAATTTTGACTACCAATCATCAAGAATGGACTATCAGACGTCAGTAAACAACCATCAAACGAATACTTATAGTTACGATTACTTACGCGATCTGGAAAGTCATATTTTGCGAAAAAAGGAGCTAACTTCACGCGCGCATGTCTTTTTTCATACTATTATTTACAATTTTGACTATCAGTCATCGAGATTGGACTACCAAATACTACCAAACGACCACCAATCGATTGGTAATGGTCGTTTTCAAAATTTTGTAGTAGTGAGGGCGGCCCACTTCACACAGCTGCATTTGGAGTCTAAGTCGAGTCGGACGACGTGGAACACAAATTCGGCGGGCACCGCGCGCAAGAAATTTTCATCAGTCCCGCGCAAAAAATTCCGCAATCGGGATTCGAATTAATACACGTCGAGTACGTTGCTTCGTAGCACTGCGTAACCGATACTAATCACCGCGCTGTCGTTTTTGCCGCGTGGTCTAATCTCCGTTAACATTACACGCTATTCGCAAAACCTACCTTGCACCCCGGGCGGAAACACTTGTCGGGGGGGGGGGGGCTTTTTGCCGATGTACATCTTACTCGAATTCTCAGTTGCGAATATTATGAATGCGCTCGGTGGTGCCAAATAACTCATCGACTCTCGGCACTGCTCTCTTTAGACTGGCGTGATAGAATGTGTACATAATCGTGGTGTAAATATAATTAAAATTGTATACACACGGATAGAACGGATTTTGCCGAAGCAAAAAATTAAATTGGAAACAATGCTTTCAACAGCAGTGCTTTTAACACTGAAAATAAGTAATTTCCAGTATTAAATTGGCCAATATTAAATTGGATTTCCATAAGAGCATCCTATTATTTGCTTTAATTTGCTCCAAACAAAATTATTTTCAGATCTGTATCTAGTAGAATTTTTAGATACTTCAGCAAAACCATTCTTTCTGCTTCACGATCGGCTTTTATCCGCAGTTATAATCCATCGCTGAATTTAACAATGCCGCTGTAATCTCGAAATAAATTCAATTTAATGCAAAATCTTTTCTTTTTTTTTTTTACCAAAAACTCGCGCGAATACCGCGTACCAATGAATTTATCGTTCTTTTTTAAAGGGGGGGAGACAGGGGGAGGGGAGGGAGAGGAAGGGAGGGGAAGCACGTTCGAGAGAAAACGCGGTGCGCAGCTGCGCTTTGTTAATTAAACATACCGTACTTTTTATTCACGATAGTCAGACTGTTCCTGCTTTCCTGCGAAAAACCGTGACAGTCTGTGAAACCAGAAGGATTCGTAAGCCGCGCGAAGTTAACGGATGTAGATTAGAGCCGCGCGCGCGCACACGTAAGAGAGAGAGAGAGAGAGAGAGAGAGCGCGCATGGGAAAACAAAACGTCCGCCCGTAAAATTTAGAACTTAAGGAATCTCACTGCTGGGAGAGACGTCGCGCGCCCTCGCCCGCGACACCTCGCCCGCTCTTGCATTTCTCAAGTTTTAAGACGTAAGCCGAATAACGCGGGTTTCCCTCCGTCGGCCACACCGGCACTGAGCATCCGTGGCTTAGAACTCGCTTGTTATCCTTAACTTTCATATTCCTGTGCATTCCCCGTGTCTGGCGCTCTCCCGCGAAATATATATACCTAGATAAACTGTCGCACTAAATTTGCAAAAAGTTGCATATCTATTCCAAACGTAGATCCGTCCTACGCCCACACACAGATACACGGGTTTTTACGGTTATTTGCGGTATATGACGATTCTGAAAATCAAGGAGATCTCCGGGGCAAAGTATATGCCATATTTATTTCGCCGACGAAAGATCAAAAAGCTCTCGAAGGGATATTTTCAGAGGAAAATGAATTTTCGGGTCTCGTTGAGGAACGACTTTGTCGGCTCGCCGCCGTTTAATCTCTGCGCAAGGCGATTTATGTTATTGAAACGCCTGCTGACTCGGCCTGAAATCACCTGCATGCGAGATAAGCTGTAAAGCAGCGCGGCGGTCGGGCCCGCGCCGCGCCGTGCGGGCTCTTTAGTTAATTAGTTGCGAGCGCCGATTTATACGCCCCGTCGTTGCGGCAGAGAAAAAAGCGTACGGCGAGAAAAAAAGGAAGGAGTCGATAGTGCCAATTATCGTTTAATAGATTTCATTCGTTCTCCCCCCCCCCCCCTCCGCCACCCGGTGTACCAGATTTTTGGAATTGAGCTAACGCGGCTTTTTCAACTAATGAAGTAATTAAAACCGCAGTTTACGCTGCTCGCGCCGAATATTTCGCGATCTCCAGTACACACATTCTCTCTCTCTCTCTCTCTCTCTCTCTCTCTTTACACGCTCTCTGCTTTAGTTACGGGATTACGTGCCGGAAGATATAAATTGTCACCTTTCGGCAACGCAAAATCGATTATGCAGTTATTATGTATGAATGAATCGTATCTATTAAGGTAATTAATAATAATTCAAGAGACTCGTCTATTTACGAACTCGCTATAATGAATGCACACGCATATAACATGCATGTACGCGGATTAAATTTGTAATAATTCATGGCGTAGATTGACGGACCCGTTCCTAAACGTAATTCTGGACAGCCATATTTCCCCGCGACACAATTTCCGCTCTCTTCTCGGACTCGCCTGCGCCGATAAATATTTATCGATGTGTAAATTATAAAGATGCGCGTCGTCCGCGGGCGCGCGCGTGCATCCAGATACTTCAAAACAGCTTTGGCCAAGTTCTCTCGGGTCTCGGGGAAAGCTGGCAAAGAGAGTGCAGACTGAAAAGTATCCTATACAGCATACGATCGACGGGGCGCGCACACAAAGGTCCCCCGAAACTTCGCACTAGCCCGCAACCGGCGAAACTTTATTCTCCCCGCTAGTATTTGCGGACAGTTTCCGGCAAATAGGTTTGCCGGTTTACGTGGGATTTTGCACATATACACACACGGGCGAGAGAACAGAGAGAGATCGTCCGCGTGATGGAGTGAGCGAGTGCGTGCAGGCGGGGACCGACCGACGGAAGGAGCGTGTGGGCGTTCGCTCATGAGCGAAAAAGGTCACTTGACAAAAACGGAAAGAACTCTCTCCGTCGGTTCAAAAAGGATGGCAGAACTGCGAGAAGTTGCGCGCGGGACGCGCGTCGTAGAGAAGAGGGGGAGTGGATTGTCGTGACTGTTCGCGATTGCCCGGGAAAAAAGGCTGGGATAAAAGGAGGGACTTTCGAGGGTAGAAAAAAAGAGAGAAAGAGAGAGAGAGAAAATCGTGGTAATCGCGAGGTGGAGACTGCCGGACGGGAAAGTACGCGGAAAAGGAAGGGAAAAGGAAGAATTCGTTAATTAAAGTATGGAGCGGCAGAAACAGTACATGAACGTTAAAAAAAAATCGAGCAACGGGAAGGAGATGGGGAGGAAAAGACAAAGATGGTGGAGGGAAAATAGAAATAAGAAAGTCAAGTCGCGCGAACAAGAAGTCATATTTGTGAATTAAAGAGGAGCGAAGCCCCGCGCGTTAGAAGTACCTTTGAAAAATCGAGAGAGACAGAGGGAGAAAAAGAGAGAGAGAGAGAGAGAGGGAGAGCATCGACCATTCTTCTAAGAACTAAAAACGAGGGAAGCGTTCAAGCACAGAGTAAAGATTGAAATGGAAATAAACCGGGCACACGATGGGGAAGTTCAAGAGGGAGTTTTCATGGTCGCAGAAAGAAGCTCCGAACATGTTCGTAAGTTAAACAAGAAGACGACGGAAACTCGCGGGAGAGAAACTTACTACTTATTGACTAAAAAATCGAGAAAGTTAAAAAGGGGAGAAAAATCGCATGCAAATGAAAGGATTATCGCGATACTGCGAGGATGATGCCTGAAATCGTCCCCGTCGAAGGGTATTATACGAGTGCGGTGGAAATAAATGTGAATCGGACGAGTAGTAACATGCGTAAAACAAGAGGGAAGGGGGGGGAGGGTGAAGTAACGATACTGGCAGAGTTGTAGGTAATATTATAAACTCCGACAATAAATATGTCATAATGGAAATAATATGGGATAAACGTAATCGAAGGCGCAATATAAATTTCTACAGATGGGACATTCGAAACACGGGTTGGCAGATGATATTAAATGAAGCGCGCGCGAATAAACTGCACTGCGTAGCGGAATAAATGTTTTCGTTGTCAGCAGAAACGCGGCATTATGCAAAACGACGGTTCAATAAATTTTGGGGAAACAATAGGAATGATAAATAGATATTGTGTCGACGTCAAGCGAATCATTATGAGAAGCGGTGTATTTAAAGCGGCATTAACACAAAAGCGAAAACAAAATGAAAAATTAAGAGACGATCGTTACAAATCGCTTAACCATAAGAGCAACGTACAGCAAATAACTGTTATTAATTGATAGTATAATCCGGCGATTAAATAATGAGATATTTAATGAGATATACGATGAAAGAGAGAAAATTAATGAGATATAAAATTTTACCTTAAAAGAACTATAATGATTATGATATATATTAAAAACTCATTTCATTTCGTTCAACGTACATAGGCTTTACGCGACAGAAAACTCTTTAGCATCGAAATACTAAAAGTAAATGCAAATTACGCTTGGATGAAAAATTGAAATAAAAAATTACTATAAAATAAAATCGATCTCATTATTTAATCACCAAACCTTGTGTACATTACGAATTAAAATTTTCGTGTTATTTAAAGCAAGCCGTGATTAATATTCGTACGAAAGCTCGGCATAAACTGAATGTTAGTTTAAAAAATAAACGGACGTTGTTAAAACGGTCATATTTATCTCTCTGCGAGGAACAAGGTCAAACTGTAAAAAAAAAGTGCCGACGGGGGCGAAAGAATCGTTGCCCGTCCTTATAAATTATCGTTGGGACTCTCCCGCGTGGGGACAGGTGCATAAAATGCACACAAAGGAGAGCAAATATTTAACGGAACTGCATGGAGAGAGGCGGGACGGCTCAATAAGTTTGAGAGACAAAAGGGTGATAAATTGTTATTGTACCCGTAGAATAAAGTCACACACCGTTGTACGAACAGGTGCGAACGAGGAACGCTCGATTTTCCTTGGCCCGTTATTGTGCGAGACGCATAAGAGCTGAAACGCATATTTCACTTTGACGTCACCGACACGGTCGCATCGGCAGCTCCGAATGCAATTGCATCACGCAACGTAGTCGGCTGAATAAAGTCCGAGAGGCGGAATGATAAATCGTTGTCCCTCTCCCCCGCGCGCGCGTTGAGTGAATCCGGTGTTTCAGCTGTGCACGCGCGCGCGCGAACGCCGGGCGATTTTCAAGATGAGCAATGCGAATAAAATAAGTACGTCGATGTGTTCGAGAATGGTCGAGAATTTTCGTGCCACCTGACGCGCGCTTTACGGGCGCAAATTATGGAAAATAGTCTGTCGCGCGTATGCCGAGGAGTTCGAATATTGCGATCGATTGAACGGTTAACGCTAGTTATTGCTACAAAAAAAATTATTGTCTATTTTAATATAATAGTTGAATCTGCTAAAAATAATATATAATTACGTGAAATATAGAATAACACGTATATGTATGTGTGTATTGTTTTCAAAGATAAAAGTTAATTTGGTTAAAGAGTTTATGTAATAATTTAAACAAAAATTTTTAATTGTCTTTCAAATGTTGTTTAAATAATAATCATATTTTTTATATAAATTAATTATCTATTTTGTTGCAGTTTTGTACAAGGTTTACGATTACCGAATATTACACTTTATTGAATTTATCAAACACTTTTCAAATAAAATGCCTAACAAAATTGCAATAAACTGGATATACTGTTCTATTTTATTTCTATTAAAAACAAAACTATAAAAATGTTAAAAATTATTTTATTCAGAAAAATAAAACTAAAAATATTAAAAATTATTCTATTTATAAAAATAAAACTATAAAAACATTAAGAACATTTATTTAAATCATTTTTATTTAAGCCATGATGTATAGATCTTTTGAAACAAAATAATTTTTATTTAACAAAAATGTTTTGTAATTCTATTTTTTAAAAAAACTTTAAAATATTGATTTTTAGTATACACTTCATACCATACATGTATATACACATGATACCATACATATACACACATATATATGAAAAGATTTTATTATAAATGTTTTGTGTCGTATAAAGCTATTTAGCTACAAGAAGATTTTAAAAATAACACTATTAAGTTATTTTAGCGAACCATTAAGCTCTCTTTGTACATATAAGACATCCTGTAAATAGTTTACCTTCCTGGTTGTTTCCGAGAATAATCAACTCGCCGTCTTCCCTCCTCCAGGTGATGTTCGGCGTCGGCGACCCTGTTGCTTCGCAACGCAGCGAAACGTTGCTGCCCTCCCTCACAACCATATCCGTACTCGTGGGATAATCCAAAATATCCGGCGGAACTGTTGGATAAAAATTTTGATCAGGAATCCTTACATATAATATACATACATTTTCACGGCCGATTCACGTATAGAGTAGTTTTATAAAAATAACATAAGAATGAAAATACCTCGAAGTCATAAAAAAAAATGAACGATGCGCTCAGGAGCACAATGTTCAGGGAGAAAGAGAGAGAGAGAGAGAGAGAGAGAGAGAGAGAGAGGGAGAGAATCGACAACGAGAAATCTGGGACGCCAACTTCCATTTCGCGAAATACCGCGAAGCAATTTTCGATATGCTATCGTTTGGCGGTTTAAAGGCACTACACATATATATATATATATATATATATATATATATATGTGTGTATACAGCGTATACAGCCTCAAAAGCGATGCCACGGGCCGAGCCCAAAAGCGAACTTGATTTCACCAGTCGTCCATATCCTCCTACAGTCGAGCTCAACCTTCGAAACAAACGCAAATTTTGCAAAAACAAAGATTTTCTCTTTTTCTCTTGTCGCCCCTCTCTCTCTCTCACACATACACACACACACACACATTCTCGCTTTCTTTCTCTTTTTTATTGAAACGTATACAACCTCCGGATTTCTATCGATATTAATTCAACACGTGAGGCACACAATGGACGAACCTACGACCTCCAAATAACCAATCTGACTCTTCATCGGGTCAGTGTTTATCTGGCACATGTAGTTCCCCCGGTCGCTCTCGCGGACATCACGTATATGTAGCAGCCACGTTTTGTGCTCGCTGTGCGTAACGCCGATTCTGTGATTCTTCGTTATCACGTGATTGGCTATCGTCAGGATGGTTTGCGTGTCCACCCGCAGCCATGCCACCTGAAACAGAAAGCCGGTACGCCGCTTCAATCGTCTGGAACCCATCCATCACTCCCGGTCTTTTGTTCTCCCGGGCCGCCGGTGACCGGTGTCATGTGACACCGCGAAAACGCGTGTAATCCGTTACGCTACGGGGCAATTAGAACTTTCTGACGCTGAAAATCTTTCATATTGTAAAAAATCGATCCAATTGATCCGAATTAATTTTATTATCGTCGCGCAGATTTTACCTCTTCCATTCTCTTCCCCTCCCGTACAATTAAAATTAACCATTACTATTTGCCATTACCTATACGCGAGTTGGCGTTAGTTGCGAATATCAATGGAAATTATCGGATTTCAATAACAGCTGAATTAATCAAGAACTAATCGAGAACTAATCAAGAACTAAGTATGGCTCGATCGAAGCTTGGATTTGAATTATAATGGTAAAAGTGTTTCTATTTTTCCTCTATACGGGAGCGCGGAGATATTGCAATACTCGTGAAAACTTGATTAGTCGTGAGACACATCGGGGAAGGCGAGCAAAATATACCCCGGCCCAATAGAGCAACTTTTAGGGTCAAGTAATGCGGTAACGTGGAAATCGGCCCACCCTACCCGCAAACCGTAGTTCGGACATTGTTGCCATTCAAACGTTTCTGCATAGCCGGTTATTGTGAGGCCGTACTACAATCGGTAAATGCGGCTTTGTTGGCATTGAATTGCGGACCCAGCAGGCTTAGGAGGCCATCCATTGATGGATGACGTAATGACTTTAATGACAAAGCGTCATCGGATCCTCAAACCCGACGAGTTTCCATCGTATGAGTTCTACCATCGAGCACTTTGTCGATCTACAAATTGCACGTGCATTTTGCATTAAGCTAGAATTGTACGTCGTACGTATAAAGACGATCCCAGTGCGTCGCCTATTCATTTATCCAAATAACAATGCGTGATTCTATTTCGAAGATGATCTTGTACTCGGAGAGCGTCGTAACGTTTTCAAGTCTACTAGTAGACGTCTTAAAATTTTCAAGGTATCTTATGAAATTGTTAGAAAGACGTCTGTATGATGTCTGTACGACATCCTTTCTATTTATAATCTTTCATTCTCTCAATATTTTATCAACGGGATACGTGAAACTATAATGTTCTCCGTCTGGAATTTACGTTTTACAACTTTTATATAATATAACGTTAAAACTCTCGTTTTAATATATTTATACGTTTTTATAAATTTTTATATCTCGTTTTAATATATTTTACAAGTCGATTCTATATTGATTGTAAATGTTGTTTTATTGAAACATTTTTATTTTAATAAATATATTTTGCAAGAATTTCTATTGTGTATTTTTTCGCTTCTGACGCCACGATTCGAGATAGTAGTGATGGGTGAACAGAAGCATTAATGAGACGTATAGTTTTCGCTGTTATACATAGCGTATTTGTTTGAAAAAAAAAAGACGTAAAGCCAAACAAATTGAATTTCGCAAATATATATTTTGAAATATTGAAACTGCCCGATATTTATTACAAATATCAATTTTTAATCTACAAATATAATTGTTTTCTAAAAATATTTTTATTCGCGCGCACGGCTAGATTTACCTGCAGACCAAAATATCACCATATTAACCTGTCAGCGAAGTGTTAATTGCATCGCGACATCGAAATAATAAAAAATATCAGAGTATCGGATATTAACTGAGAGTAAATAATTTTTATAAGCTGTATTACATTTAAATTGACTGTACCATATGCATTGTAATCAAATGTTGCAGATGGTAGAACAAACATATTACATATGCTCCAAAAAATATTTCATAAACTTAATAAAATTCTTTTCAAAAAATTTCGATATCTTTAACATGATAGAGTCCTAAAAAGACGTATTTTTAAAGACATCTTAAAAAAGACGACCTTCGACCGTTTTTAAGATATACGCGTGTTGCTTGCTTAACATTTGCTTAGTTTCGTAAAGTGTTAGCGGCCTTCATAAACGGCGACTTAAGAAATACTGTATTGAAATTTATCGATAAAACTATATTAAAAAGTTAGAAAAATCCTATAACCCAGTTGATGTAACAATGAGGTTGGGATAAAATGCCCCGAGTATTGTATAAGTATATCGTACAATCTTTGAACTTACCGTTGGCATCTTGCCACCGATCAGAATTTATGTCAGCTGCTCGAGAAGGGTATAGAGAGGAACAAAACAACGCTCGATAGAATGTTTGATAGAAGAGCAATAAATTTTCTACATAAGAACGCGCAAGGAGAGGCCGTCGGGATAATCGCGGAAGAATAATAGTTTCCCTCTTGTTGAGATGAAATGGAAAAACTTGTTCACGTGCGAATGTATAATTTTTTCTAAATGTACGCACCGTTGTCGGAAATGAGAGATTTTAGTCCGCGAGTTCGAGGAGCGATGGCTCCCCATCGCGCTCCCACCGTCGATAAAATAACTGCTGTTCCCCATCCTATCCTGATTTACGAACCCGTCGTTAACGTTCAGTCAAGGTAATTGCACCGAAACCGCAAGAATTCGCCCGACAAAGCCCGCTCCTTTCCTCCCCCTCGGAGAAGCCCCACCCATCCCCGACAGACCAAGGAGCAAATTCTCGCGTCTACTTACAAAATCCCCTCTTTAATCTTTCTTCGAAACCTTCCTTCACTTTGTTCCGCCGCTACCCCCGATATTTTTCTATTTCGCCATTACAACGCTTTCCTCCCTTTGTTCGCCGCCAATTGGATTATCGCGACTTTACTCGATTTCCCCACCCTCACCGGCATAGTTTAGTTTTTTCCTTATAATTCTCTTCGGGGGAAATTATTTCCCGGTCTGAGCCATACTTAATTCTTGTTTCCGTAATCCACTTGATACATTCCACAAACCGTAGGTACTACAAAATACTTACCGTAATACAAAATACGGGTGATTTCGTGGGTTTTAGAGGCTGTTACCGAGAATGTGCAAAATGATGTCTCAACTTCCTATTTTGGAATCATAAGAAAAATTGACAAAGGACACCGGGACCGGTTGTCACAGTTTTAAACAGTGATTTTTAGAAAAAAAATGACTAAAATTTTTAAATACTGTATGTATTATATATATAATCCACCTACATCCCTTAGATATTAAAAAAATATCTTCTTGAATACATCATGTTACAAAGAAGCTACAAATTTTGCATGTTACAAATCATTTTTGGTGTCGTATTTTAATGTCAGTTTTATATTTCAGAAGAGAAACTGTGAAACATAATTGCTTATTATTAGTTTCTCTGTGAAGCTAAACAGTTCATTTCTAAATGTCTGAGCCCGTTTTATACGCGACAGAAACTTCAGCCATGATATCCTACGCTGAAAAGCTTGTATTATCACAATCAGAAGTAGCGCGGTATAAGACGAAAATACCTAGTTGACGTTAAGTTACTATAGCTACTAAGAAGTAACGGTAGCTTCCGCTAATGACTGAATCATGTCCTCGAAAGTTTCGTTTCTTGTCGCGAGAAAGTAATCGCGCTGCTCTAACCAAATTTATAAGAAAGAGATTAATGAGGACTATCAATTTGCTAATGTTTCGTATGGGATATAGATTGGAAAATCGTTAATCGCTAATGTCGTCGATGAGGACCCGCGTACTTTTCGTGGTACATCTCCTCGCATCGGACTGGCTCGAATCGGTCGAAACGGTTGACGTTTGTACGCCCCTTTGTAACGACCTAGGCGAGACGTTAAGAGCGAGCATTTGCGGCCACGCGGGAACAATACCGGCACGTTCGCCGTATTTAATCAAGCGACTGTGCGCCCGGCGCGGCGCGGCGTGCGGCTCACGCTTTGCGTTAACGGACCGTCTCGCAATCGTCACGCGAGCGATTAACGTGCGTTACCGGCGCGAACAAAGGAACACACTTTCTCTCGCGGATATTTCTCTCTCTCGACGCCGTTTAACTGCGGCTCTGCCTCTGGTCCGTTTGCAGTCGGCACGATTATAATTTCCTCAATATCCTCAGTAAAATTACAAAGCACGGCGGTAGAAGACGATGCGATGGAAAAAAGAAGAAAATATATCGTCCATTTGTGCTGCAACAACGACATAACTCAAAAATTATCTTTTTTTTTATTGCAGAAAAAGAAACGGAAATATAAAGGGAAAAAAGGACATTTATTTCTCTATCAATTTTTACAATTATTATTACAAGCAAATACAATTATTAATATTACAAATTACATTGTAAAATTACTATTACATATAATAATTTCGCTTATTACTGTAATACAAAGTTTCAATGAAATAAAGCATTGAAATTCATTTTCCGGAAAACTATCTTTTGAATTGTGTCATTATTGCAACAAATGAGCGATATATATATATATATATATATATATATATATATATATAACTAGAATGAATTAACAAAAATTTTTCATCTGTTATATTGCAGCAAATGAGCGGTATACATAGCTATAGTGCGTTAACAAAAACGTTTCATCTCGTTTTTTTTTGTAACCAATTGACTTGTTCAAAATACGTCAAAGAGAAAAAACGGAATGGAAAATTTTCGCTGGCTCAGCCTGTATTTGTAATGCGAAAGATGCAGATGCGTCGACATTTTTCAACATTTAAAATTTTTGATTCTGAATTTCGAATATATTTCATTCTCTCTCTTTCTCTCATCTCCCCCCACCCTTCCTCCTCCATTCGCGGCAAAACTCGTTCGCCGAGCTCGGCTGACCGATATCTGACGCGCTTTTCGAAAATCGCTGATGCGTGTTCACTGTGCGAACATAAAATCTGCATTGAAATCCACCGGTCGAGAACGGCAATATGTCTCACGTCCGGGCATAGTCAGCCATGAAATACTCGTGCAGAGAGTGCGTCAACGGAGCGTCTGAAATTCATTGTCCGCGGCACGGCCATGGCGGTTTAGCGTCCCGTGTGCCTCTATGGCGATTCACGGGACCGCGGCAAAATGGAAACCACGCGCCAAATATGCGTCTTTCCCCTT